AAAAAAAAAAAAAGAGAAAATGAAAGTGTGTGTGTGTATATATATATATATATATATATATATATAAACGTACCAGTCACACTCCACACTATAACCCTTTTTCAGTAATACTTCAGGAGCAATATAGTCTGGAGTTCCAACAGTGGAAAATGCCTGTCATGAAACAAATAGATAAGCTGGAGAATGATATGCATGCAAACAAATAAAAACATGATCAAAGTTGTAAAAATGTAATCAAAATCAAAATTTCATGAACAAGAAACATAAGATTCTATGTAATTAAATTTTACCATTATGCACAACATCTGATACAACACCAATTGATAAAAGTACAAAATATAATATTGAACACTGAAACCGCACACAATACAGCAGTAAACTTGCTGTACCTGAGATGTAAGTCTCCTATCAGGCTATCACCTATCACATATACAGCAACAAACTTGCAGAGAGACAATAGTCTTCTGCAGAGAGAGTTCTCTATTCACAAGCTATGAAAAACTTCACACTGCTTAACCAGTAGTTATTTTTTATACATAATTGCCACCCTAGATATTTTACTACAAATCTGATTTCTAAAGCAGTTATTTTTCTACCTATGAAACACCAATTCCAACACCAGACATGACATGTTCCCATAGATACAGAATCAAGATATGGATAATGTCTAAAATAAAGGACACCGCGGGGTGTGTGTGTATAAATCAAGATCCGTTGACACCAAGTGTTAAAGTTAACAAAATTAAATTTTCAATAATTTTTTGTAGAATACAAATTTAACCGATCTAACTCTTGAATTATATACTATTATAGTCATAATCATGTATATCAAATTTTAAATAATTTGAATTTTTTTAGATACTTTATCTAACCATGAATATTTATATATATTTTGATTATCATATTTCACATTAAAATAAAGTGATGTGATGAACTATTGAATAATATTTTAATTGAACAAAATTTTGTATACTTATTCTATTAATTATAACATCCAATACAACGGTTGAATTGATCAAATTTGCATTCTACAAAAAGTTATTAAAGGTATAATTTTACTAACTTGAAAACTTGGCATCAACGGATACCGGCCCTCTGGATCTATATATATAATCAACATGACAAAATTAAGATTTATATATATTCACCTTATAGAAACAAAGTTATTAAGCTTTACAATTTTCATATTATAATGACCTATAAAGCACAAAAACCTCTGCAAAAATGTCATGTTGACATGTCCAACACATTTTGAACACAATTGTCAGACACGCCTTGAATACGTGCTTAACACCTCTCTATTGTGTCCAATTAAAAATTATTTTATTTTATCTCGGATACTTCTTCGACATGACTTGGACACCTCTCTAACATGACTTGGAACGAGCCAAGAGAGTGAGACAATAACTATTATTGGCTAAACACTTATCTGACACTTCTATTAATAATCCTTATATATAGGATTCTAAGATGGATCATTTCACAATGCAATCTTTATAATAAATAAAAAAAGGTCCAAGATAAGAAGATAAATCATATCCCCTTAAAAGTTAAAACAACTAGTAATTCCTATGAAAATGAGTCTCACCAAAAAAAAAAAAAACAAAGAGATGCTATGAGCCTTGCAATATTTATAAAATAAGTTGACTTCAAAAAAATATTAATTGGAGTGTTGGATAAGTGTTTAGCCAAAAGAAGTGTCATTTTCCTCTCTTAGTTCACATCCAAACCGTGTCGAAAAAGTGTCCAAACAAAAAAAAATATTATTTGTGACACAATGGAGAGTTGTTGGACACTTGTTCAAGATGTGTGTAACAAATATATTGTGTCCAAAATGTGTTGAACACGCCAACAAGACATTTTGCAGAGGTATCCATGCTTCATAGAATTTCTACACATTACTGCCATAATTGCCCCTAACCGCTGGTTCCTATCATTCCAAGAGAAAAATAAACAGTTACAAGTCTTTCATTCTTTACATTGATCCACAATTCCAAATATTGACTAAATTGTCCAACAATGGTGCTGCCATGGGGTTAGTATGTTCATCCATTACGTGGCACATGTTTAAGTACCTCTATGTTAAATATAATGTCATTTCGTATTATAGATCAATTAGATATTGGCATATTGCTATTACAAATTGTAAGAAATCAGAAATAAGAATCAGGCTAGCAACAAATACAACTTTTGAGCATGGGCAGAAGGCAATTACCAACTTCCTCCTGTTAATTTGCCAATGTTGAAGTTGTTCAAGGGGACTTTTCCAGCGCCTACCATTTCGGCCATTTGGCAAGGCTCCATCAACATCCATGGTATCATTCAAGTTCACATCATCCAGGATTTCATTTTCATTTATAGATGATAGACTTGAGCAGTCAAGTGGCTTGCAAAGACCAAAATCAGACAGTTTCATGTGACCATATTTGTCCAATAGAAGGTTGTCAGGTTTTATATCTCTGGGGGGAACAGGAAGAATCTTATGATGTAAAATTATGATTTATAAGAACAAAATTATATTTTTAAGATGTAACAATACCAACCGATGAATGTAGTTGTGTTTATGAATAGACTCTATGGCCAAAACACTTTGGGCAATATAAAATCTAGCCACAGTTTCAGTCAAAGTTTCTTCCCTCATCAACAAAGTCATTATATCACCACCAGGCAAATATTCCATTATGAGATATAAGTGGTCAGCATCTTGAAATGAGTAATAGAGTTTCACAATGCAGTCACTGGCAACTTCTGCAAGTACATTCCTTTCAGCTCTGACATGCTCTACCTGTCATAGAAATAAACCCAATGAATTAGAAAATATTCAAATCAAATGATGAAACTTAAAATAATAATAATAATAATAATAATAATAATAATAATAGAAAGAGGAACTTTTTTTTTTCTTCTAAGAACTAGAAGAATGGAAAGAACAAACTTTCATTCAATTAATGAAAATATGAAAACTCACCTGTCCCCTGCTGAGCATTTCAGACTTCTTCAACTTTTTCATGGCATATATATTACCTGATTTCTTTTCACGGCAGAGTCTTACCTGTGAAGCCATATGGGACAATTAAAAAAAATTCACAGTAGATAGGTATACAGACAACAGTAAAATAACAATCCAAAACCACACCATCACTTATGATTGGCGTACATAATCAGAGATCAACTCTTAATCAATGGCAACTCCGAAGAAAAGGGAAAGATATGAATATTGTAATCGAATGACACCAAATAAGGAAGGAAGAAGAATTTCAAGAAAAGCTATTTGGTAAAGCACAATCATAAGTCAAATCAAACCATGTGTGTCATTGAAGTGCAACGATAGTGCAAGTAAGGCCACCATTAAATACTCGTGGACGAAAGAAAAATCTTCCTCTTGAGGGGGAGCGTGACCATGTGGAAGGGATTCACACTTGAGGAAGAGTGTTGGAATTCACTTATATACTATTTAATTGCCTAATCTCTAGTCGATGTGGGACTTGGATGTTTCCCAATACACCCCCTCACATCCAGCACTATTGGATTTAGTACGTGGATAAATGGTAGTTGGCCCTTTTTTTTAATGATCTAGAATTGGCGGGACTTGAATACATATAACTAGTAAGGAATCAACGATTTATTTCTAGCATCCATGATTAGCTGTCATATTTAGAGAATCCTAATATTGGGGGTAGGAGAAAAGCATAAAGAAATCCTATGCTGGAAAGCATAGTTTATATTTGTGCATTCTTTTTATAATACCATGATATCGTTTTTGAAAGAAAGATTTCTATATTAATGAGAATAATGAAAATTGAAGTTTAAAAGATCCTCAGTCACATCATTTTGGCTAGATAGATATTTGTTACTAATGGATAACCGAGTGTTTCTGATAAGCAACATGGGGACTTAGGCTAGCAGCCAAGGAAGGAGAATTAAGCCGACTGAGCATCCCATAATATCCAAGTTCCTGTCTTAGCACCTCCTATGAGATCCAACATTCTGACAAATGCATTCTACAATGCTTCACTCAGCCTTTTTGGTCAATCCCTATTCCCTAGTCCCTACATAGGTAAACCTTTCCGAGACACTGGGAACCAACTTTGAAACAAATTGATAAGCACCGAAGCACTTGGGAACCCTCCCTCAAAGGCTAGAGGTCTAGGGGGGTGAACCAAGCCATTTAAGAACTCAACTGAGCATTTTTCTTGTTTTATTTTTTCCTCTTTTGCATATATTAATAAATGTACTTTCGTAGTTTACCTTATCTTAGCATACTACTTAGCAATATAAATAGGGCAGTCAGACTCATTTACACAACCTATTTTATCTTAATATGGTATCATAAACCAGGGTAGAGAAAGAGAAACCCTTAAAAATACTTTTTCTCCGGTGCATATTTTTCTATATTCTTTTATAAAGTGTAGTACAGCTGCATTAGATGTCAAGCAAGCTCTCTCTGAATAATAAACAGAGCTCATAGACTCAGTGTCTAAATATCTAACAAACTTCCACGGCACTGATGATGATAGCTAGTTCTTGATGGTGCAACTCATCTTCATTAATTCCCTCTTGTCAAGACACTTTTTTCTTGGAACTTTTACCATAAATGACTTTCTGAGCCCAACCACATCCAGTAACCATGAGTTGCAACCCGATTTTGCAAAGTTTCTATGCTTTTGCTTAGAGAACATTCTTGGCATCACTGTCACCATCAGTACACCTTCAACACCATGTATTAATTATCTACCCAACACCTTTCAGGTTTTCCAAACTAAGAGTGATTTCTTTTTGGTTGAGAGGAAAAACATAGATGAAAAAGAAAAACAAAATTGCATGATGAGGGAACTTCATTGCAAGATCATGACTCTTTATTTTATGAGATCGTAGAAAAAATGGAACCCAAACAAGGTACAAACAGAAGAGTAATTTGATACATTGCTATATACAAAATACATGTATACATATACTTAAAAATGGCCCACGTGGATGCTTTCACTATGCAGCCAGTCCCCTATACTAAATCCAATTCCATATCAGAAAAGTTATATTCCTAGGAATATTGATCGTTCAGAAATAAACAAAGGAAACATGCAAAAAGGGATAGCTCTTTCAACAAGGAGAACCATATGGAAAGCAATTTATTTTATTATGATTAAGAAATATTTAATTGAGTATTATCCACTATCCATATTACCATCTTACATTGAATGCCATGTTTAAACATCAAAACACAAAAATAAAGATCTAACTAAATAACTATCTAATATGATTGTATATATTTCTACCTCCCCAAAGGCTCCCCTGCCAATAATGGTTAGAAGGTCAAAATCATCTACACATATTTTATTTCTTTTTAACCGTATATACTCAGTTTCCTTGCGCTCTAAATCCTTCAATAGATTGAGCTGTTCCTCTTCTGGTACTTGAGAAGACTCTAACTTCTTTTGTAGCACTAATCGCCTGCAAATAATAAAATCATGCCAGTAGGTTTCAGGGTACTTTAAAAATAAAAGGCAAAACACGATGACTAAATAAATGCGGGTCCCTTCGTTTGCACTTCTATATTAGGAAAAATAACTAACTTGTATGAAAAACAAAGCTTCATATAAAAGTATACTACAATAACTGAAAACAACTGTGTGTGCATGGATGAACTTGAGTGTCTGAATGTCAAGGAATTAAAACAGCCAAAAGGCCAAAAATATTGCATGCCTTGAGTGCAAGTGCATGTGTCAGTCAGAACTAAGACTCTGCCAGGTGCCAAGGGCCACAAAATACATAATTAAGCACAGGGCATGGACCACACTGATTACATTCAGAAAATATGAACATGACACACTGAAACTCAAATTCCATAAATGCCCTTTTAATTGATACATGAACATTTTGTGCACCACAGAGCATGGGAAGGGGGAACGACTTAAATGCTCTGGAGAATCCACATCAAAGTGTTCAAAAGACAATTTACTTTTTCTTTCAAAAGAAAAAGAAAAATTCCAACCGATGCCCTTAGTACACTGGTTAAGGAATCAAAAATAGAAAGTTTCCATTAAAAAGTGTATCTACGCATTATCCTGTGTAATTTTATTTTAGTAATTCCATGAAAACTTTCTCCATATAGATTCCTTAACCAATATCCTAGAAAAACTACACACTCCTCTACCCCATTCATATAATAATGAGCCGCAAGATTCCTTGTAAGCCAAATTTTATCAACAAACAAAACCATTTGGAATTAACAAAACATCACTAAACGTGCTGGGATCACAATCACATCATCACTACCTAAAAAACAAGCAGCCAAAGATTCCACAGCACGCATACCAAATTCACATTATTAAATTAATAAGAACAACTCCATGACGACATTTCCTTCAAAAATAGAAAGCAATAAGAATCCAACAACAACATGCATCGATCTGATCATAAAATGAAAGAAATGCATGCATAGATAAACATTGAATACCTCTCCTTGCGTTCATTGATGAGCTTCATCTGAGCCCTGTAATGATTCTCAATGAATTTCTTGGCCACAGCGACCCTCTCCAAGGTCAAGCTGGAGCCGACGACACCTTGATCCTCCTCTTCCTCCACCGCCACGTCATCATCGTCCTCCCTAACATGCACATCCTCCTCCACCTTGCGATTCTCCATGGTGCCCCTAACCCCTCTGCCTTATTCTCTTCTCGTTTTTATTATTCTCCTCTCTTCTCTCTCTCTGTTTCTGTCTGTGTTTGTGAATTGTGATGACCGTGTCAAATTAAGACAGCCTCCTCTATGTGGGTTTGTGTGTCGGACAAGTGTTGAGTTATGATTGGGACTTTGTTGGGGTCGCTTAGTTTGTGATGTCGATGAGTCCGAGGTCTACAACGTTGGATTCACTCTCTCAGGTGCTCATGCTGTGGGAACTTTCGTACCTAATTTTTCCAACGTCTTTATTTATTTCTTCATATTCCTATTGTTGCTTTCTTCTTTGTTTTTTTTTTTACCTTTTTAATATGCTTGGTCTGGTGGAAGATATTTATCTCAAATATCTCGCACGTGCATCACGTCAAAGGCCAAAGCCCAAAGGAAATCATGCATTCGATAAAATAAAAAAAATATATAAAATATACATATATTTTAATAGTTGAAATATTTTTTAGATGATGATAAAAATAAATTTGTGAGGACTTAAGTACAAAATGGACAATATATCATAATTGTAGAAGTATCATATGAGTTTTGGATTTAAATCTTTTATATGAAAATGATATGGTTAAAGGGGAAAAATCATACTAAAAATATTCATATTCTTTTACAAAAAATCAGTTATCAATAAAAATTAAATATTTCATATTAATAATATAATTTAAAAAAAATAATACATTTTGTTATAAGTTGTATGCTATATTCTTTTTTCTTAAAGGAAGAATAAAGTTAAAACATGAGACTTTTATACATATCACTCAAATATCTTATTACCGAGCCGGCCTTAATTTTTATGTATGATCCTTATTTATTAATTTTTATGTAATTTTTAAATCATCAATTTAGTCGTAAAATATTATCATTTTTCTTGATTATATAGTTCTTAAAAATTATTAGGATTGGTTTAATGATAAATTTTGGGTAAATATATAAATGCTTAGATTTAATTCTCATTTTAATGTTATAATTTCTTACTCGTCAAAAAAAATATGTAGTTCTTAAAATAATAAAATTGTATTATGATTTTTCAAATATTAAATATTTATCAAGTTAGTCTCTCATTATATATTATTGATGTCCATGAACCAATTTAATGGTTTTTTAATATTTAGAAAACTACTTATTATCATCTTTAATATTGTCGGAGAATTTCTTATTTAATTTACTTTAGGGACTATTTAAGAGAGATTAATATTTTTTTAGATGAAATTAAAGTTCTACTAAAAGTGAAATGTGTTTGTGTGAATATTTTAATGTTTAAAAACTTAAATTTAACAGATATATATATATATGTGTGTGTTTTACGATTATTCTACAATTTATTTTAGAGTTTTTGAATCAATTAATATATAATTATTTCATCTTAATTAATAGTATCAAGTTTAAATTTAGGGTATATACAGAAAGCATTAAGAAAGTGAGCACACATTGAACTGTGAAAAGCAAAAAAAAAAATTAGGGTATATAATTATGTTAAATGCTTAAAAAAGAAAATTTTATTATACATAATAATTTTATTTAATTCGAATAGAATTATGTTTCATAATAGATATTTGTGTTCTCTATTAAAAAAATACAAGAAGATAAATTTGGGTGAGTCTTGTGACAATTTCAACAAAAGTAGAGACGTGGCAATTTTAATAAAAGTTTAGAAGTGATTCTTGTCATGGAAACTTAGAAGTGACAATTATGGTAGAAACTTAAAAAGTAATGTCTTCGATAGGATATCAAGAAGTATGAATTTTTATGCAAGCTTGAAAAGTGACTAATCAAAGAAGGTGTTTATGGTGGAATTTGTTTTATGGATTCTTTTTACTTGAACTAGCACGAAAAATGTTTCAATTTAGATATGTGATGTTTCTGAGTTTTAGTCTTATAAAACGAGAAGAGGAGTAGTAGGAAGATTTAGTAATTACTTGTTTCTAAAGATTCTTCAATAATTAACAAGCAATAATTTTCATACATATAAATGCTAAGATGAACAGAATGAATAATTGATATACTTGCAATACAAATCATGGTTCAACTTGCATAATGTTCCAGAGTTACAATATCAAAGTGATATAACTACGTGATTAAAAGAAATAACTAAGAGAACTATGTTAATTCTACTCCTAAAAAGCAAAAGAAAAGTGGTCGAGAGTTAGTCATACCCAAAAACGATTCCTCGCACGAAAGCCATATGTGCAGGCAGAGAGTGCTTCAGAGTATAGTCTTAGTATGAGTTCTTCGACCCCATGCACGAGGTTAATACTCCTATTTATAAACTGACTCAATAGCGGTTGAAAGTTGAGTTGGAGTGTTGTACCCTGTAACCGCTATCCATTATGCTTGATGTGGGTATGAGTTATGCAACTTCTCCGTATGTAACTTCTTCTAACTGCCTTTCCCACGTGTTCTATTTCTGTGCTTTTAATAACCGTTCTAGTGCGTCCATCAGACATCTTCGATCACTTTTCAACTGACTGTTCTAAGGTAATCACTTCATTTGGAATCCTTCAGTAATTCTACTTTTCGAGCACTTCTCAGTTCGATTTGGCTCTAATTCGAGTATATTTCGAGTACAGATAACTTAAGTCTTTGATACTTTTCTTGAACCTCATGAGTGTGCTTTTCGAGTTGTTTGATCTGCGAATCAACCAAAATCTTCGAGCAAGCCCAACAAAAGGTCAAAAAAGTTCAAGGAACGAAAATCTTCAGAAAGGTTAAGAAATTTCAATATAAACCAAGACGTATAATGAAGCACAAGACTTGGATATTTTAATTTAATCAGGTTCAAAAGATAATAAAAATAGAAAAGAATAAAATAAAAATAAAAAGTTGATCAAGATGTACACTATTGAAGAGTCAAACTTTATAGGGAAGGATTTCTTAAACCATAATATCATAAGTTATATAGTTTCATCCATTCACCTGCCCTTTCCTCTTTTCATGGACCATAAGATTTTTTTTCCAGATAAAATAATCGGTTGGATATGAATTTGTGACCTGTATAATAGATTTCACTATACAGGTTTATTGTTAAAATATATGATATGACTAAACGTACATCTGCTGAAATAAATATTCTACAACTATATAATCATATGAGTCATACAAATATCTAAAATATAGTCTAGCATATCCAAATTTATGGTTTCGTAAAACCATGTAGTCATGTTTAAAACTATGAAAAGGGTAATATAACGTTGTATCCATTGTTTTCTAAATTCAAGTTATTTCTTTTTATGTATGTAAAAAAAATCAATCAATTTTCAAGAGGCTTCCTTTTTTGTTAGTACAACAATAAATAAATAAATAAATCTAAATTATAAAATTTTATCGTAATGTGAATAAAAAATACTAATACTAAATTCATAAAAAAGAAATTTAATTAGGAGAAGTAAAAAAAATGCAAGATCATTTGTCTTTTTAGCCAAACATAAATTAATTCATATATCATTTAGTCTTGATTATAAGAATAGAAGCTTTATAAATTACTGCAATACCTGATAAATTGAAATATTTTGTTACAATCAATTTTTTAAATTAATAAAAAATGATGTAAAGTATACTTTTTTTTCTTTTATTTTTTTCTTGATGTGTTTTTAACAAACAAATGATCTAAGTGATTAATTTATTATTTCTTTCCATAAATATTGGTTCAAGTGTTTCTAATCATTTTGTAGAAAATCAAAATAGCTTTGAGAAGAATAAATAAGACTTTATTTGCTGAAATTGAGAGAAATTTTGTAAATTTTTTATTTAATTTACTCCTTATAATTTATACACAAGTATAAAAAATTTCAATTTATCATGACTCATAATATATATAAAAAAGATATTCTTAATAAATTTAAACATTTTGTATATATATTAAGAATTTTAAGAAAACATATATTAAAATTAAAAATATAAACATGTTAAAATATAAATAATTCTAAATCAATTGTTCAAATATTTAAAAATAAAAAATAAAAACAGTTTCAAAATCTTTTAAATATATAAGAATATAGTAGAATTTATCTACAAATGAAGTCCAAGAATTGATATTTTATTGTTGTCATCTTATATGAAAAAAGAATATGGTTAGGTTACAATTATTTATGATGTAGTACCAAGAGGACAACCTAATGCAAATAGGCAAAAGATGACATTTTAAAACAGTAGACTATCAGAGTACTTGAACACCCACCAAACCATGACTGATGCCAACTGTCATACTCTGAGCTCCAATTAGTATCATATATTATCCACCACCCTTGACCCTTCCACACTGAATTTAAATATATAAATAACTGTTATATACAAATATTCATGCAGACAAACGTATCTTGTAGTACATTGTACAAATATTATTAAATTAAGATGCATGTTTACTATCATTCAAGCATATAATTCTGAAAAGTTGGGACATGTTTATGTCTTGAATTGTGGTAACTGTAATTGCCCTAATCAACTACGTAAGTATACCATCATATATAGAAGCATATCATTTAGAAAAGTTGGGGCACAGCTTTGGAATCCCTTCTTACCACAAAAATTAACTTTTTTTATATTATAATATTAGTACAAAATATATTAAAAAACATTCAAAATAAATTCTAAAAAGTCTTTTTAAAATATATTCAAACATGCTTATAAATTGGTATCACTTAGTGTGTTATTGGTCTAAGTAATTAAGAAGGGACCAAAACCCCTTCAGGAATTTACCACTTTTGAAATGCAAAGATGCTCCAAGAACTACATTGTCATACTTTGTAGGGACCAACTTAGAGCCATACATAGACATGTTGAGGGTATTTTCTAAGACAAATGCTGCAGGAAGCTACTTAACTTTTCAACAAGGTGCAGGCAAAACACCTAATAAATTTCATTCGAATTTCCTAGAAGTTAGTTTGCACCAATCGTGAACGAGTGATCGGTCCCCGCTTCCCAAGTCCCAACAATACTCGTGTGACAAAAGTCAAAAGCACAAATCGAATCTTTATGAGTCAGAGACATTGTGGGACACACCACAACACAACACAACACGTATTATGTAACATGCCACCAAACATTGAAAAGAGAAACGCGGTGGCATCGACCATACATGGTAACTGTTTGATTACAATTCCACAACCGCTCAAAACAATGTACGGCTCAAGCCAGAATAAGCACGCAATATACGACCATCATAATCTTTGGCCCTTATTAGGTTATTTTTAACAGGTTATTTTCATGTTAAAAAGTTCACCTCAGTCGTGTCATGCAAGCTCACCACAAATAAGGCAATCCTTATTGACCATGTAGACTAAAACATATAGAATTAAACCAAAAATTAAAGTTGGTAAAAGTAAAAAAACCAAATGAATTTTTTTTTTATTTCATTCTAAATAACATTTATCAAGCAATCTTGCTTGACTCAAAATAAATATGACTATTATACAGTATATATTAAAGTTGATAAAAAATATAAAATTCAAATGAGTTTTTTTTTCTTTCTAAATAACATTTATCAAACAATTTTGTTTGACTTGAAATGAATAAGACTATTATATATGTCAAAGTTGATAAAAATATAGAATTTAAATGAGTTTTTTTTTCTTTTTAAATAACATTTCTCAAGCAATTTTGTTTGACTTGAAATGAATATGACTATATATGCATCAAAGTTTTTTTGTCTCATCAAAATAGTTAATTAAGCTAAAACATTAAATCAACTGAATTTAATAGTTTAATTTTTATTAAATATTTTATCTATCTATACAAGGATATACAAAGTAATTTATCATTTTTATTTTCTATATAATGAGTATTTGTCCTCATCTATCTTATTTTTGCGGTCTTTGATTTTACTCATCCAAGAAATTTAATAAAAACATTATTTTTACCTTAATTAACATTATTGTCTGATAAGATAAAAGGAAGGTATATGTAAAAGACATCCCAAAGTTTAAATCAATCATAGATCTTAGACAAGTTAACACAATTAATGTTGTAATAAATGTAAAAATATATTTTTTAATATGTAACTATTTATACTAATATTATTTGACTTAGGTCATGACGATAGACCCATTGATTACTTAATTACCTTTAACAATGTTGTTGAGTTGTTCATAAACTCATTTAATCCTTGATTTGATTCGAGAGGTATTTAACTTTAACTTTCAACATTATCCTTTAACCAAATATTTTAAGATGACAAATATTTTAAAATGTCTTTTGTGACAATTGTTGTGAACATAAGGGAGTGTATAATTATTTTAGAGTTAATTATCTATATATTGTCAGTGTAAAACCTTTTTACACTGACAACCAATTATATCTTTTAATTCTGCCATGGCACTGTTAAAAATAAATATGTTTACAGTGACATAGCACAATTAAGAAATATAATTGGTTGTCAGTGTAAAAAAATTTATACTAGCAGTGTATAGATGATTAACTCATTATTTTAACTACTTTCTCTACGTTAAAATAATTATCATTTTGATATTTAAAAATAGTTCAAAATAACCTATAAAGGTGAAAATTAGAAAAAAAAAAAAGTAATGGATTTATTCAATTACCACATTAAAAATAATACATTTATTGAGAGAATAAAAATACTTTAGTTAAAATACATTCTCTCCGTTCTGCTGAGATTTTGACACAGAAATTATAATAAATATATTATTTTGTTATACAATTTTGTTAAAATAATTTACTTTATAAATAAAACATAACTTTTAAATGTGACGGTTAAATAATCTATGAAGAGAGAAAATAGTGAAAAACAATACATTTAAAATGATAACATTCATTAATACTTTTTTAAATGTTACAATTGTCATAATTGTGAGATAGAAAGAATATAAAATAAAAAAATTATATAGAAATTTTAAATTACAGTTAGTTTCGAAGAAAAGGAGTATCATACCACTTTCTGCTTATCATATCATCATTTAATAGAAATCAAAACTAAAACGGACAAAAAAATAAATAAATAAAATTAACAGACTAAGGTGAAAGCACTTCAATCATACAGAGACTAAAAACTAAATGAATTGTATTCCTTTATGAGACAAAAATTCTCTACACAATCTATAGTCGTATAGATACACAACATCATACTCAAGTTTCGGTTATTGAATGTGACTACAAGAAGAAGGCATAGCCAAAAAAATGGTAGAAATGAAAAGTGAAACTAGAGCTACAAAAAGGCAGTGCCAGCACCCGCATGGTGCAACAGATAGTGCGCAATCTGATCCCTAGCCTGCAGCGAAGTGGCGGAGCGAATCCCATTCTCGGCGACCATCTCATCGTCGAAAATCTCAAAGTCCCACTGAGCCTCCATCTCCTCGTTCCGCATCTCACAAATATTATGCAAAACGCAACAGGCGCCGAGCACCACAGGCAAATCCTGAAGCTTCACCTCGGTCCGCTTCTGCAAGCACCCCCAACGCCCTTTAAGCCTGGCAAAGGCGCGTTTGCCCACGCCCTGCACCTCCTCAACTTTCTCATTAAACGCGTGCTGCGTCCACGTCAGATTCTTATGCGTGTACGGCACCAAAACCCAGTCCATCAGCGGATGCCCCGAGTTTCCAACGATCCAAACGTCCCTTAAGCTCCCTCGGCTCGCTCTCTCGTACAAAGCGCTCTTCTCCAGAATCTTATCATCCGCCATCGAACCTGGCCAACCAATGCACACGTCGCTGAAAACCCCCTTCGAATCAACCACGCCTTGGACCGTTATCGAGTAACTCGTTTTCTGGTTCCGCTCCGTGTGCCGCTTGTTGAAGTAAGCCGAAACGCTGATTTTCGGAGCGATTATCGGAATGTGCGTCGTGTACATTGACCCTCCGATGTTTTGAATCCCTGAGATGCTCTCGAAATCTTCCTTCACGCGCTTCATCTTCTCCTCGCTCGGCCAGTTTAGGAACTTCGGCATCAAAACGGTGCGTATCGCGCCGCAGACCTCGAGGACGAGCTTGTGGCACGTCGAGATTCCCAAGCCGAAGCGCTTCGACACCAGCCGGAGCGGGTCCCC